CAAAAAAATTTGTTTGATTTAAGTAATCGGTTACTTTACTATTATCAAATAAATATTTTCTTGAACCAAATAATTTATATTTGAATCAGTTAATTAGTATATAATAAATATCTGGTCAAAAAATTGGTTTTCAAGTAGTAAAATCTATGCTTGGTCAGACAAATTGCTTTTTAAGTAGTAAAAACTATATTTGATCAGGCAAATTGGTTTTCAAGTAGTAAAACCTGTATATAGGTAGACAAATTTGTTTTTAAGTAATGAAATAAATGCTTCGTCAGAAAAATTGGTTTTTAAGTAATAAAATCAATATTTGGTCAGACAAATTGGTTTTTAAGTAGTAAAATGTATGTTGGGTCAGATAAATAGGTTTTCGAGTAGTAAAATCATTATTTCGTCAGAAAAGTAAAAAAAGTAAATGTTTAGTATTTAAATGGTAACCGAGTAATTAAAGTTTATTTAGTAGTAAAATCGATATTTGGTCAGTCAATTTGATTTTCAAGTAATTAAATCTTAACTTGGTCAAATAAATTAGTTTTCAAGTAGTAAATTCTGTATTTAGTCAGACAAATTGCCTTTTAAGTAGAAAAATCTATAGTTAATAAGGCAAATTTAATATAAAGTAGTAAAATTCAAGTAGTAAATTCTGTATTTAGTCAGACAAATTACTTTTTAAGTAGAAAAATCTACAGTTAATAAGTAAAAAATAAGTAAATAAATAAGTAAATAAGTAGTAAAATCAATATATGGTCAGGCAAAGTAAATTTTAAGTAGTAAAATCAATATTTGGTCAGAGAAAGTAAATTTTGAGTAGTAAAATCGATATTTGATCAGACATAAAACTTTCCAAGTAGAAAATCGTTTGCCTAGATATGAAAATAAAATTTCAAGCAGTAAAATTCCTGTATAGTCAGACAAATTATTTTTTTTCTCCACCAAAAAAAAGACTTGAGGCAATTAAAATTTTTTTTTTACAATCAACTTAATCGCATCTACTTTATTTTTGTCTATGTTAGCTTCTGAAACCATAGGAAAAGAAAAACTAAAATTGTAAATTTTTATTTACAAGTAAATTTATCGCTTTCAAAAAATATTTAATTACTATTATATATTTTTGTTATTATTTATTATTATTATTTCATTATTATTATTTTATTTTATTTTTATTAATATTAATGTTATTACTAAATTATTGTTATTTTTTTAAAACTATTTTTATTATTTATTATTACAGTGCAAAAAAATTTGTTTGATTCAAGTATTCGGTTACTTTACTATTATCAAATAAATATTTTCTTGAACCAAATAATTTATATTTGAATCAGTTAATTAGTATATAACATAAACAATTTCCCGGCAACGAGGGTATAAAATACAAATGGTCTTAAAATTCTTTAAGTGAATTTTTTTATTTTTTCGTTTTTTTTTGTCAAAGACGACTTTGTACGTATAAAAGTTATTTTTTCAAGCTTTCGAGAAAAATAAATATCTTGGTTTTTTTTTGTAAAGTGAAGCTTCACAAACGCGATATTCGACGCACCCTTCACTTACTTAACTTGGCTTTGCATTCGAAGGTCGCATTCAGTCACAACCAACTTGTAGAGGTATACTAAATGTAAAAAGCTTTCATTAAATGAAACTCGAATCGACCTTTAGTGAAAAAGATAGAAACCTGAAAATTCCAAACAATCTCTCAGTGTGTCGTATACTTTTTTGAGAAAATAAGGTTTTTTTTCTCTTGAAATATGAGCTCAAAAAAAAAAATCTTGATCCTCTATATACAGCCAATTATTCCCCAAGGCATTTCAAGTACTTTCTAATTAGTTCCTAATTAGTCAAAAAAAAAAAGAAAATATTTTGTTTTTTTTACGTCAAAAAAAAAAAGAGTAAAGGGTTAATTTGTTTTGTCAACACAGTTCCTCCTGTTTCGCTTGACTCATCTATTCAAAGTGAATACTGAATTGTTTGAATGAGAAGAACAAACGATGATTTATTTAAATTTAACCGTTGCAAGCAAAGTGAATACAGTTTGATTGAGGGAAAAGTGACAAAATGTTAATTAAAAAATAGTAATTAATTACTTTCTTTTGTTTATTGGTTTTGCGATTGATTAATTGTCTACATTCAATAAAAAAAAAAACAATGTCAATTTCATGTGTTAAAAAAAGAAATTACGAAAAAAATAAATAAATAAAAAAAAAAGTGTCACGAGTGGTAAATTGTGGCACACTAGGCCCTGACCATCATGTATGTATACATATATATACATCTTTTGAAGGCAACACCTGTATGGAAATGAAAGTCTGCTAGTGACAACCTAGATTATTCCTAAATATTCCAACTCTCGAATATTCAACAGACAACGTTTTGCTCTAATTAGCAAAGCTTTGTATGTTTACTTAGTTACATGTGTAATCCTCTTTCTAGTTAATATTATAAGATATGTATATTTTTGTTCATTCAAAAAAAAGGTTATAATCGTTAAATTTTATTTATTTGTTTTATTTTATTGTGATTTTTTTTTAGTTTTGAATTCAAATTTTACATTTTGATGTTTGTTATTGAGATTTTTAAAAAAATTATGATTTTCAGTAGAAAAATCATAATGTTGTCAGACAAGTAGATTTTCAGTAGTAAAATCGATGTGAGATCAGATAAATAAGTTTTCATGTTGATAATTCTTTATTTAGTTGTAAGAATTGAATTTTATGTTGCAAATTCTCTGTTTAGTCAGACAAAATTAGATATGAAGTAGTAAAATCTATATGTGATCAGGCAAATTGGTTTTCAAGTAGTAAAATCTATATTTGATCAGGCAAATTGGCATTCAAGTAGTAAAAACTGTATGTAGTCAGACGAATTTGTTTTTAAGTAATGAAAAATATGCTTGGTCAGACAAATTGGTTTTTAAGTAATAAAATCAATATGTGGTCAGACAAATAAGTTTTTAAGTAGTAAAACCTATGTTGGGGTAGATAAATTTGGTTTCAAGTAGTAAAATCAGTATCTGGTTAGACAAATTAGTTTTTAAGTAGTAAAATCCGTATTTGATCAGACTAATTTGCTTTTGAAGTAGTAAAATCAGTGTGTGGTCAGACAAATTAGTTTTTAAGTAGTAAAATCTATGTTGGGTTAGATAAATTTGGTTTCAAATAGTAAAATCAGTATCTGGTTAGACAAATTAGTTTTTAAGTAGTAAAATCCGTATTTGATCAGACCAATTTGCTTTTGAAGTAGTAAAATCAGTGTGTGGTCAGACAAATTGGTTTTCAAGTAGTAAAATCTATATTTGATCAGGCAAATTGGCATTCAAGTAGTAAAAACTGTATGTAGTCAGACGAATTTGTTTTTAAGTAATGAAAAATATGCTTGGTCAGACAAATTGGTTTTTAAGTAATAAAATCAATATGTGGTCAGACAAATAAGTTTTTAAGTAGTAAAACCTATGTTGGGGTAGATAAATTTGGTTTCAAGTAGTAAAATCAGTATCCTGTCAGACAAATTATTATTTAAGTAGTAAAATCTGTATTTGATCAGACGAATTTGCTTTTGAAGTAGTAAAATCTATGTTGGGTCAGACAATTAATTTTCAAAAAGTAAAATCTACGTTGGGTCAGACAAATTTGGCTTCAAGTAGTAAAATCAATATCTAGTCAAAAAATTGGTTTTCAAGTTGTAAAATCTATGTTGGGTCAGATAAATAGGTTTTCGAGTAGTAAAATCAATATTTCATCAGACAAGTAAAGGAAGTACATGTTTAGTATTTAAATGGTAACCAAGTAGTTAAAATTTACTTGGTAGTAAAATCGATATTTGGTCAGACAATTTGATTTTCAAGTAATGAAATCTTAATTTGGCCAAATAAATTAGTTTTCAAGTAGTAAGTTCTGTATTTATTCGGACAAATTGCTTTTTAGTAGAAAAATCTATAGTTAATAAGGCAAATTTAATTTCAAGTAGTAAAATCAATATATGGTTAGGCAAAGTAAATTTTGAGTAGTAAAATCGATATTTGGTAAGACAATTTGATTTTTAAGTAATTAAATCTTAATTTGGCCAAATAGATTAGTTTTCAAGTAGTAAATTCTGTATTCAGTCAGACAAATTGCTTTTTAAGTAGAAAAATCTATAGTTAATAAGGCAAATTTAATTTCAAGTAGTAAAATCAATATATGGTTAGGCAAAGTAAATTTTGAGTAGTAAAATCAATATTTGGTCAGACAAAGTACATTTTTAGTAGTAAAATCGATATTTGGTCAGACAATTGGATTTTTAACTAATTAAATCTTAATTTGGCCTAATAAATTAGCTTTCAAGTAGTAAATTCTGTATTTAGTCAGACAAATTGCTTTTTAAGTAGAAAAATCTATAGTTAATAAGGCAAATTTAATTTCAAGGAGTAAAATAAATATTTGGTCAGACAAAGTAAATTTTTAGTAGTAAAATAAATATTTGGTCAGACAAAGTAAATGTTTAGTAGTAAAATCGATATTTGGTCAGACAAAGTAAATTTTTAGTAGTAAAATCAATATTTGGTCAAACAAAGTAAATTTTGATTTGTAAAATTGATATTTGATCAGACATATAACTTTTCAAGTAGAAAATCCTTTGCCTGGATATGAAAATAAAATTTCAAGTAGTAAAATTCCTGTATAGTCAGAAAAATTATTTATTTTCTCCACCAAAAAAAGACTTGTGGCAATTAAAATTTTTTTTTTACAATCAACTTAATCGCATCTACTTTATTTTTGTCTATGTTAGTTTCTGAAACGTGCAAATTTAATTAACTCTACATATACTACTGAAGCATATATTTATTGCGTGTTAGATTTTGGTTAAGTGAAGTCATTAAGTTACATAAGTTAAATCAAGTTATTCCAAGTTAGCTGTTAGCTGAATTTGCAAGCACGCGTAAGACTCTAGGGATAAGTTAAGTGAGAGAGTAAGCAAGAGGAGACAGACAGACAGTGAGAGAGAGAGAGTTGAAGTTAACCTTATAGAATATGAGGTTCCAGAGCCTAACCCTTAATCCACCTCAGTTTCCTAAGCGACCAAGTTGTGATCCCTATACATTGGCGTCGTCCTCTCCGAGTTTCACGACTTTGACTTATAGTCAAGGTAGGTCGTCGATCTTCTTTTTCCACCTTTTTTTTTTTCTTTTTTAATGTCCCTGATGAAAATTTCATTAGGATCAAAAAATAATAATTTCAAATTCTTTTATGAAAAATGATTCTTTTCAACTATTTTTTTTTTTTTTTTTTTTTTTTTACAAATTTTATACACTTGCTTGAGAATATTTTTTCATGACCAAAATAAATTATCGATTTATTCAGAGTTTATTTGCTTTCTATTTAATATGATTAGTTTATTTTTATATGTGAAAAAAAAATTTTATTTCTGTTTTTTTTCTTTGCCTATTATCACATTTATTGTACTTTTATCTTATTTATATTTATTATCTTTTTTATTTTTATTGTTTATTTTTCATTTTCTGTTTTATCTATATTTTCTATTTATTTTTACCTGATTGGGTATTTTATTTTTATACCCTTTTATATTCATAGTTTATTGTTTTTATATCTATTTGCTCTTTTTCTTGTTTATTTATCTATATATTTATAACTATTTTATTATACGAGCGTTTTTATATAAATAAAAAATATCTATTTAGTTCAAATAAATATTTATTCGGTTCAAATATTTTTTTCGATTCAATTAAATATTTATTTGGTTTAAATTTTTTTTTTTTGTTCAATTAAATATTTATTTTGTTTAAATATGTTTTTTTCGTTTAAATAAATATCTATTTGAACCAAATAAAAATATTTTCTTTTGTTTAAATAAATATTTCTTTTGATTCAATAATTATTTCTTTTGGTAAAAAAAAAAAATATTTTTTTGTTTCAAATAAATAATTTAATTAAAATAAATATTTATTTATTAATAGCCAAATAACGAATAATTTTAATTAAATAAATTTTTTTTTCAGTTTAAATGTATTTACCAGAGAGTGTTATTTTTCCCTAAGATTCCTTTTTAATTGCATGTTTCAGAAAAGCATTAACAATAACTAACCCGCAATCAAGCTAAAGCATTATGTCTTCACAAAGGAAACCTCATCGTCACAAGTCTTGAAAGAAGGAAAATACAATAAACTGGTCTTTCAGGTAAGAGCTAAATTGAGAGTCTATAGTTGATAAATATGTCAATTAGTGCACAAAAAAAAATTCTCTAATTAAACTAGTTTTTTTTTTTATTTCTCAAATATTTTTTTATCCCAGTTTTTTTTCTATTTTTCTGAATTTTTTAATATTTGTATTTTATCGATTGACATTTATCAATTACAGTTCTTATTTATATTTATAATATATATTTATTTTTCTATTTATTTAACTGTTTATTTATTTATTTTTATTTATCTATTTATTTATTTATTTATATTTATAATATATAATTGAATCAATAGTCGTAGGAAAAAATTTCTATCAAATCAATAATAGTTATTATTTTAATAAATATGCAAATAAATATTTTTTCCCTATAAATTTAAAAATTTTTCTTTAAATTAGTTATTTTCCTTTTCAACTCCAAAAAAATACAACTATTGATTCAATGTAAAGACAGAGAAAATTTTTTAAAAACAGAAAAAAAAAATTTCCCCAACAGAAATAGATCGAGGTGATTAAAATTGAAAGGTGGAAAAAGTGGGAAAATTCTTTTTGGCAATAAAAAGAGAGTGAGAGAGGAACTGGAATCTTATTCCTGGGACCGTCGTGGTGTTGTCCGCCGGGGGTGGCGGTGGCGACACAGGGGGCGGGGGTGGGAATCTTTGTCGACGATCTGAATTTGCTCGGCGTGGGGGTGGCGGTCGGGGGGCCTCTTGTCTTTCCACCATCAGCTCCTCTGTTGCGGGGAGCGCTGGGGGCTGCGGCCCCGTGGTGGGCCTCCCCTCCTACAAAAAGCGACAAGGTAATTTCAAAATTTATTTAAAAAAAAAATTTTTAATTTTAAATTTAAATTTTACTTTAAAAAAAAATACAATTTTGATAGAAAATATTTTTCCTTCAACGTTTTTAAATAAATACATTAAAAATAGTTTTGCCCCCCTAATTAAAAAATTCCTTCCTAATAAATGAAAAATATTTTTTATTTACTATTTAATTTTTTGTTTTGCGTTAATTAAAGTCCGTACTAGCGTCGTTTATAAAATTGTAATTTTTTTTTTTTGAATAATAATAACTGATTTTTTTTTTGCAATAAAAAAAGCATATAATTATTTTTGACGTATATATATATATAATGAAATCAATATTTCATTGTTAGTAAAGAAATAAAAATAGTCCAACGCGAGCGGTCAGTCTTGCTCTAAGTAAAAGTAATTATAACTGTTGGAGAGTGAATAGTGAAAGCACATAATTCATGTGCGGTAACCAGCTGGAGCGACGATTTCTACTCGTTAATTGTAACAAAAGGAAATAACGGGAGAAGTATATAAAAGCTTCTATATTTGGTTCGAGTTATATTTGTAACTAAAAAAAAAAAAAAAAAAATTCAAAATTCACAAAATTGTAATTTTTATTTATTAATAAATTCGATCATTTTTCTGCCACAGCAAACTTTTTTTCGTAAATTTTTAAAAACTTATAAATATTGAGTATGAAAATATAATAAATCCAATATAGATATAAAAATAAAACATATGGAAATAGTTCTGTCGATATTTTATATATATGAATAATTCAATATTAATGTAATAATATTATTCTGTTTCTATTATTTCAACATGAAATGCGGCCAATTATTCTTGGTATATACATAACGTATTAAATTGTCAACGATTATTGTGCTCTCAATTTTAGGCGACTCGAATCGTTTAAATAATTATAAATCCTGACCCAATTGAAAGGTGTTCAAATTATAATTTTTTTTTAATAATATAATTTTTTGTTATTTATTTATAATTTCGCAAATTTTTTTTTTGTAATATTTATATCTTGCAAAAATTTTCATAACAAAAAATTATATCTTTGCCTCTATAGAGGAAATAAAAATTTTATTTTATTTTAGAATTTTTTGCGCCTTGGGTTAACAAAAATACTATATGATAAACGATTTTTATATTGAATTTTGAAACGGCATAAAAAAAATATAAGAATTTTCAAAAAAAAATTTTATTTTTTTACTATAAAGGTTGAAAATTGTTATTATGAAAGCAACGCCGCTAGTTTGGACTTTAATTTAACTTTTATTGTAATCATTTTTTATATATACTTAGGAAAATAATTTCTATCATTACTATTTTAATTAGTGGACAATATTAATATTACTGTTGCTAAGGAAAAAAAATTCCTTAGCAACCGTACCAGTTACGTTGATGCCATTTAGTTACTATGGTAACAGTTACTTTGGTGCCATTTAGTAACTGTAGTACCAGTTACTATAGTACCAGTTACTATGGTACCAGTTACTTTGGTGCCATTTAGTTACTATGGTACCATTTACTATGGTACCTGTTACTATGGTACCCAGTAACTATGGTACCAGTTACTATGGTAGCGGTTACTATGGTAGCGGTTACTATGGTACCGGTTATGCTATGGTACTCGGGAACTATGGTACCAGTTACTATGGTACCGATTACCTAATGGTATCGGTTTTGTTATGGTACAAGTTACTATGGTACCAGTTACTATGGTGCCATTTAGTAACTGTGGTACCACTTACTATGGTACCTGTTACTATGGTACCCAGTAACTATGGTACCAGTTACTATAGTACCAGTTACTATGGTACCAGTTACTTTGGTGCCATTTAGTATCTGTGGTACCAGTTACTATGGTACCATTTACTATGGTACCTGTTACTTTGGTGCCATTTAGTAACTGTGGTACCAGTTACTATGGTACCATTTACTATAGTACCTGTTACTATGGTACCCAGTAACTATGGTACCTGTTACTATGGTACCCAGTAACTATGGTACCAGTTACTATGGTACCAGTTACTTTGGTGCCATTTAGTATCTGTGGTACCAGTTACTATGGTACCATTTACTATGGTACCTGTTACATTGGTGCCATTTAGTAACTGTGGTACCAGTTACTATGGTACCATTTACTATAGTACCTGTTACTATGGTACCCAGTAACTATGGTACCTGTTACTATGGTACCCAGTAACTATGGTACCAGTTACTATGGTAGCGGTTACTATGGTACCGGTTATGCTATGGTACCCGGGAACTATGGTACCAGTTACTATGGTACCGATTACCCAATGGTATCGGTTTTGTTATGGTACAAGTTACTATGGTACCAGTTACTATGGTGCCATTTAGTAACTGTGGTACCACTTACTATGGTACCTGTTACTATGGTACCCAGTAACTATGGTACCAGTTACTATAGTACCAGTTACTATGGTACCAGTTACTTTGGTGCCATTTAGTATCTGTGGTACCAGTTACTATGGTACCATTTACTATGGTACCTGTTACTTTGGTGCCATTTAGTAACTGTGGTACCAGTTACTATGGTACCATTTACTATAGTACCTGTTACTATGGTACCCAGTAACTATGGTACCAGTTACTATGGTACCGGTTACTATGGTACCAGTTACTATGGTACCAGTTACTATGGTAGCGGTTACTATGGTACCGGTTATGCTATGGTACCCGGAAACTATGGTACCGGTTACTATGGTACCGATTACCTAATGGTGTCGGTTATGTTATGGTACAAGTTACTATGGTACCAGTTACGTTAGTACCATTTAGTAACTGTGGTACCGGTTACTATGGTACCAGTTACTTTGGTGCCATTTAGTAACTGTGGTACCAGTTACTATGGTACCATTTATTATGGTACCTGTTACTGTTTTACCGGTTACTATGGTACCTGTTACTATGGTACCGGTTACTATGAAAACGGTTGTCATGAAAATGGTTACTATAGTAGCGGTTGTCATGGAAACGGTTGCTATGGTAACTGTTACAATGGCAACCGTAGGAGTGAAATCCTTGTTGCTATGCTAATTAATAGTAATTTTTTTAATAAAATTTTTTTTAATTTTTGCTTTTTTCAATTTTTTTTATTATTATTTTATTATTATTTTATTGAAATACAAGGAACCGGAAGCGCATGGGGCAGAGGGAGTAAAGGACGGGGTAGAGGACGCGGGGGCGGCGGTGCGAATTTTTCGGGTTCCGGCGTCGCCCCCGCGAATTATACCCCAGGACTTGAGAGCGTTGCACCAGGATTGCGTGAGGTCGTGAATATTCTTGGCAAGAGAAATCAAATTGGTACTCTCAGTGGGGTTGGTCCACCGCCAGGTACATCAGATACAGATGAAACTGGTGACGAGGAAGAGGGAAACACTCCAAGAAGACCACCAAAACCACTTTATCGAAGATTAATCAGTTATGTGCGTCAGGCGTGGACTGGTGTTAAATTTGCATTAGGTATTTATAAATTTTTTTTTTTCTCAAATTTTAATTTTTATAATATATATATATACACTGTAAAAAAAAATTGTCAATGAGTAAAAATTTTCGGAGTTAAAAATGAATTCCAATAATGAGTAAATATTATAGATTAATTTGACGAGGCATAAAATTAATTCTTGTTGGGAGTTAAAATTACATTACTTTCTTTACAGTGTATATTTTTTATATACAGGATGATGGAAATTTACACAAATTTTTTTTCTGTATCGAATTTTTCTGTATTTGAAAGCAAAAAAAAATTGGTTTAGAAAAAAAAGAAAAAATTTTTTTTAGGAATCCGGTACATTTTGATCAATCTGTATATGAAAATTTATGTATATATGTAAATTATAAAATCAAAATCGCTTTCGATGTCTTAAACCATAATAACCCTTCCTTTTCAATATATCCAGCTGACATGATGTGCGATATAGGTATTTAATTGGCCTGAGCATGATAATTATAGCGCTTTATTAATATTTACAGCATTTTCTTATTTCTAATTTATATGATTAATACAATTTTTTCTTTAGGAATTTTTCTCCGCCCTTATGTAAATTATTCTTTAATCTATTTTCCTTTTTATTCTCACTTATTTAATATTTATAGGAATTTTTACAAAATTAATTTAATATTTATACGTTTTTTTTTAAATTTTAACTTTTTCAATTCTTTGATAAAATTTCTTTTCTTTTTTCTATTTTGCATTTTTTTAACAATTTTAATTAAAAAAATTTTTTTTAACTTTTTTAGTACAATTTTTTGATAACTTAAGTTTTTTTCACCATATTTTAACACACAGTAAATTATGGAATATTATTTTAATATCAAAATGGATTAAAATATAATGCTACGCTTTAGTCCATCAAAAAATTAAAATAATTCATCTAAATATTAAAATTGCATTCAAAAAAGGAATTTAACAACATTTATTTTTTACCAAAAAAAAAATTTAATCCAGAAAATGGATTATTTTAATATTTTATGGTATTATTTTAATCTGAAATGCCTTTTTGATATCTCATACTTTACTGTGATTGGAATTTAATTTTTTATTTCCAAAAGTATATTATTTTATTAAATTTAAAAATAAAAGTTTTTAACTCTTGAAAAATAAAAATTCAATACTTTTTTTTATTTACATCAAAATTTTAGATTCATATTTCTCAATAAATATAAAAAAAAAAAATTTCAAATTAGAATTTTAATAAAATTAATTTTTACTCAGTTTTATTTTTAGCTTCATTTTTCTCTAATTATTTTAATATTTCAAATTTTACTATCCTAAATCTATTTATATTATATTTATAGATTACAATAATTTATTATATTTATTGAAACCTTTGATTATAAATAATGACTAACAGTTTTTTTTTTTTTTTGAAAAATATACAAAAATATAATTATTTTATTAATATATTTATTATATTAATTAATTATAATACAAAAATATATTGCCTTCGAAAATTCTTTTTGATTGGATTTTTTTTTTTTAAACGCATACACCGAATAATAATTATAAAATTGGGGAGTAGAATTCAAAGTCAAAAGTGATAAATAGAGTGGAATCGAAAGAGAAAAAGAGGGGAAGGGGGGAATTTATAGTGGAAAGTAGAACTGTGAGTAAGCGAACCAATTTATTTCAGAAACTTTGAAAATGGTGTGTCCACCTCACATTTAATGGCGTTTCGTGGCGAAGGCTTCAATACAAAAGAGTGTGTGTGTGTACTAAAAAATCAAATACTCCCTAAAAAAAAACCCAATATTCATTTACCATAAAATTTCGTTCATTCACTATTTTTACGTTCAGTAGTGATAGGTTTTCTCACAAATATTTTTTCTTTTTATAAAAAGCCACTAAATTTCGTGTAAAGCAAAAAAATTTGTTATAACCTCAACGAAATATTATAAAAATTTCTACAATCACATATGTAATTTTATTTATATTTTCGTTGGATTAGAAAAAAGTTTCTTTGTACAAATATCAAAAAAAAAAAAATTTTGTTGGATTAAAAAAAAATTTAGTCGTACAAATAAACAAAATTTTCGTTTTATTAAAAAAAAAAGTTTGTTTGTACAAATGACAACCTTTTTCTTTTTACAAAATAAAATATTTTTTTCCCTTGAATTTAAAAAAAATCTTTAATTAAATTTATTTATTTTTTAAAAGTATATATAAATGAAAATTTTAAACTAAATTTGTTTCGAATTAACCAATTTTCCCTCAAGTTTCTCGCAATATCTTCATGTTAAATTTCTTACTTTGATGACCACTAAACTTGCAACTTACGTTTAACTACTGTGCACAAACTTCTTGTAGTAGAAGAAACTTTACCATCTATACAAACTTGTATATAACAAATAAATGAATTGTATATAAAGTAGTAAAAAAAAATAATAATTGCAAAAACAGATTTGCAAAAAAAAATTAATTTTAATTATTATAATTAATTTAGGTTTGTAAAAAAAAAAACTTTTATCGCATGTGAAAGAACTGCATATGTTTTTTTTTTGCCCACAAATTCTGTGGGAAATATGGTGAACGAAAATATCACTGAAAAATCGTAAATAGACACAATGTTAACGTGGAGCTTTGAAAAATTCAGAGTACATTAAAATTCAAACCACAAGTTGGATATAGTACAGGAAATAGCTACTTTGTGCGAAGTCTCCGGTTTACTATGTCAGAGTGTACATACAGTTTTTTTTTTTAATAATCAATTGTAACAGGGCCGCAGGGACAAAATTTTCAAAAAAATGTGAATTTTTTGTTTTTTCATTTTCTCTAAATTTAATTACCCTTTTTGAAATAAACAAAGGAAAAGTAAAAAAAATTCCCTTGAAAATATTTTAAAAACTTTCTTCTGAAGTTTAAAAAAAAAAAAATTGAAATTCTAAAAATACCAAGAATAATTTCAAATGTCAGTGAAAAATATTCTTTGTAAATTGTATAGAAAACTTTCTAAGTATGGTAAAAAGAAAGTTTATTCAAAAAAATGGAAAGTAAAAAAAAATTTTCCAAAGTGATAAATATGAAAATCACGAGTGTAAAGTACTTCATACTATATATTTTACACAACGCGGCTTTTTTCATGAGCAGCAGTTCATGTTTTCAAATTTTTCACAGACTTCACTATCAATGTGGACAGCTAATGAAAATAAATGTTGAACTCACTCTTATGTGTTTGAAAAAAAGAAAAAATTTCCATTTTCCTTTTAACGAGGAAAAAAAAAATTCCACTTTCTTTATCCATTAGGAAAATTCAATTTTTCAAAAATTTCAAAAAAATTTGTTTTTTAAATAAATATAATATTACATTCGTCACGTTATTTCGTCTTTAAAAATATAATTTTTTTCTTTTATAATAATTCTCTCACGTGTGTATATGAAATTTAATTTTTCATTTTTCTCTCTTCTAATAATATATAGCAATCAAGAATTATTTATTCTGAAGATAAATTTATTTCTTTTGTAAAAAATATTTTAACAAATGTTGAAAAAATATTTTTTTATTTTTCTCCCTTAATTACCTTATTTATTATAATATAAAATTATAATTCAATGTAATAATTTTTTTTCATTTTCTTTTTTATCCCTTAATTATTTATAATTCAAATTTTTAATGTAATATAATATTTTGGACATGTAACAAATTGTTCTTATGAAAGGAATTTTTTTTTTTAATTTATTAGTTCCGATTTTGAAAGAAGAAAAGTCATTTATATAAAAAAAAAATTGTATATTCTTTTATATAAGAAAGAAAAAGTGCAGAAGTAAAAAATGTTGGGAATAGATAAGATAAGAAAAAGTTAAATAAAAGAAGATAAAGAAGAAAAAGAAAGTAGAACAAGTCATAAATTTTACATCCGTATTCGTTCTATTTTTAACAATATATATATTTGTGGACTCATAAATATATTGTTTCGGTGAAAATTATTACACACTGTCAATTACAAAAAAAAAAAAAAAATTTATTGTAACAATCTTTATACATATAAATATTTTTGCCAATAATTTCACAAATTGACATTTTGCTGACTCATTTATGTCCGAATTTGTTTTTTTGTCTTCTTTTTTTTTTTACATCAGATACTTGTCAACTTGAAAAAAAAAATACGCAAGTAAGCGTGACTCGATCTAAATATAATCAACGACTGAAACCTCATTTCCTAACAAACTCAATTTATCGAGTCACGACATCGTTATTAAATACTATTAGTGAGAGGTCAGAATTCTATTGGACAGTAGTGGAAATCTAATAATGAAAAAAAAGCTCAGCTGAAAAGTTAATGATCTATTTTTTCACTACGTTTCACATACTTTTAAAAGTGACCCGAAGCTTCATTTTTTTTTTAATTGCTCCTGTCAAATATATAAATTTTCCATTTTATCAAACAAAATTTAATTTTTCATTACTTGATCTTTTCATTTATTTGCAAGACGAATTTTTTTCCATTTTCTATTTTACTAAAACTATTAGATTTTAAAACTATTTTTTTTTTTGCAAAGAAAATATATAAAATAATAAAAAAAAAAAAATATACAATCACACACAGAGAAAAAGAATTCGGTTATCTTCAACAATTTTCTCTGTTTGTGTTAGAAACAACTTTCTTATCTTTGCGAGAGAAGAAAATGAAGTCTCTTTTTTTTACAATTCTCACAAGTAAAACTTGAGTTGCACACACCATCATTCGTTTCCCTCCCCCTCCCCCTCTCTTTTTCCTATTCATTTTTTTCTTTTTTTTCCCCCCAATATATATTCTCGCATCCATTTCCCTTTTTCCCTCATTCTATTTTTCATCATTCTCAATTTAACCATCTCTCTCTCTCTCTCTTTCCTCAAATCCAGATACCAAATTTTTTTTTTTGTATAATAAAACGAAATTTACAAAAAAATGAAACTTTTCTCAAATCTCTCGTTGCATTTTTCTAGTTTTATTCTTTCGTAATCTCGTGCATGCCCTATGCATTCAAAAATATTTCTCTTTTAAAACTCTTCAGAGTGGCTCAAGTGTCCAATATATTTAGATATTAGCAAATTTCTCAGAAAAAATAAGAATTATTTACAAAACAAAAATAAATTAAATAAATAAAACTAATGTTTAAAATAAGAAAATTATTACAACTACCAATCGGTAAAATTAACAAAGATTAAAATTACCAATAAATAAAATTAGCAAAAGTTAAAACTACAAATGATTAAAACTACCAATGCTTAAAATTAGCAAAAATTTAAATTAGCAAAAAATGAAACTACAAATGATTAAAATTAGCAAAGACTGAAAATAACAGTGAATAAAACTACCAATGACTTAAAAAAAAAAAATAAAACTACAAATAATTAAAACTACCAATGCTTAAACTTAGCAAAGATTAAAATTACCAATGACTAAAATTAGCAAAGATTAAAATTAGCAAAAATTGAAACTACAAATGATTAAAATTAGCAAAGACTGAAAATAACAGTGAATATAACTACCAATGACTAAAATTGGCAAAGAATAAAACTACAAATGAATAAAACTACCAATGCTTAAAATTAGCAAAGATTAAAAATACCAATGACTAAAATTAGCAAAGATTAAAATTAACAAAAATTAAAACTACCAATGCTTAAAATTAGCAAAGATTAAAATTACTAATGACCAAAATTAACAAAAATTGAAACTACAAATGATTAAAATTAGCAAAGACTGAAAATAACAGTGAATATAACTACCAATGACTAAAATTGGCAAAGAATAAAACTACAAGTGATTAAAACTACTATTAATTAGAATTAGTAATAATTGAAACTACTAATAATAAAAAATACCAGTAATCAAAATTAGCAAAGATAAAAATTAACAAAGATTGAAACTACCAATGACTAAAATTAGCAAAGATTAAAACTACAAATGAATAAAACTACCAATGCTTAAAATTAGCAAAGATTAAAAATACCAATGACTAAAATTAGCAAAGATTAAAATTAACAAAAATTAAAACTACCAATGCTTAAAATTAGCAAAGATTAAAATTACTAATGACCAAAATTAACAAAAATTGAAACTACAAATGATTAAAATTAGCAAAGACTGAAAATAACAGTGAATAAAACTACCCATGACTAAAATTAGCAAAAATTTAAATTAGCAAAGATTAAAATTAGCAAAAAATGAAACTACAAATGATTAAAATTAGCAAAGACTGAAAATAACAGTGAATAAAACTACCAATTAGCAAAGATTAAAACTACAAATGTATAAAACTACCACTGCTTAAAATTAGCAAAGATTAAAATTACCAATGACTAAAATTAACAAAAATTAAAACTACAAATTTTTAAAATTAGCACAAATTTAAACTACAAATGATTAAAATTAGCAAATGCTAAAAATAACAGTTATTTAAACTACCAATGCTTAAAATTAGCAAAGATTAAAACTACCAATGACTAAAATCAACAAAAGTTAAAACTACAAATAATTAAAACTACTATTGATTACAATTAACAGAAATTGAAACTACCAATGATTAAAAATACCAGTGATTTAAATTAGCAAAGATTAAAATTAACAAAAATTGAAACTACCAATGGCAAAAATTACCAAAAATTAAAACTACCAATAATAAAAATTGCCAAATATTAAATGTACCAGTGATTAAAATTAGCGAAGATAATTTTAAATTTTTTTATTCACAAGAAAAAACATTAAGAATTAAACTTTTTAAATATTTAAAATATTCCTCTCTTAGTTTCTTGATTCAAATTATCTTCTTACTAACTTCTATTTTCTTTTCTTTCTTTTTTTTAAATAATACTTAAATGCAATTTGTCTTTTCACAAGATAATTAAATTGTCATCTAATTTAATTTCAACTAGATACAATATACAATGTATATTGTACAATATATAACTGAATTATTTGCTTGTAGCTTGATCAATATATGATATAATGAAAAAAAAGTTTTTTCATGTAATTTAATTTTTGTTGTTGTTTTTTTTTTATTTAAATTGAACGTAATTTTTTCGCAGACTCCGAATATGAAGAGGAACAAATACCGAGATATCGGCCCGACTCTTTGGCGAGTCTTTGCAGAGCAACTCGATTTACTGAAGCTGAGCTGAAGAGGATATATCGTGGATTCAAAGCCCAGTGCCCCACGGGAGTCGTCCGAGAAGAAACCTTCAAGTGCATCTATTCCCAGTTTTTCCCTCAAGGAGGTAAGTGTGTTGATCGAATCTCACTTCACCTTCTATACCGAGTGTATATATACATAAAAAAAAGATGTTTAAACGACACTATTGCACAATTTACACTCACCAAAAAAAAAGGAAAGGAAAAACTTATTTAAACATTATTTTTATGTTTTCTTTCAAAAAAAAGATAATTTTTTAATACATTTTATTACATTTTTTATTATAAACAAAAAAAAATATTTTTTTTTGTTAATATAATAATTGTGGTACATAATTAACTATTTATAAAAACTTAACAATTCTGACTAAAAACTTGATTGTACTTCTTTTTTTTATACTTTACTTATTGTGTCTGACTGAAAACGACTCGTACTACTGGTAAAATTACAAAAATTACAGAATTTAAAAATTAATATTTACTATTATTACTGTTTTTAAATTAAATTCATTGTGTCTGACTAAAACCGCTTTGTACTACTCGTAAAAATTACAAAAAGTACAAAAAAATTCAAGCCTGACTAAATATTGATTTTTACTACTGATAAAATTACAAAAATTACAAAAATTACAGAATTTAAAAAAAATATTTACTATGACTACTATTTTTTAAATTTTACTTATTGTGTCTGACTAAAACCGCCCTTTACTACTAATAAAAATTAAAAAATAATAAAAATCTTAAGTCTGACTAAATACTAACTTTTACTACTGATAAAATTACAAAAATTAAAAAAATTTTAACCATAAATAATTTCAATTTAATTTATTGTGTCTGACTAAAAACGACTCGTACTACTGGTAAAATTACAAAAATTACAGAATTTAAAACTAAATATTTACTATTATTACTGTTTTTAAATTAAATTCACTGTGTCTGACTAAAACCGCTTTGTACTACTGGTAAAAATTACAAAAAGTACAAAAAATTCAAGGATGACTAAATATTGATTTTTACTACTGATAAAAGTAGAAAAATTACGAAATTATATATAAATATTTATTTTATTACTAATTTTCTAATTTAGTTAGTACGTCTGACTAATAATTGACTTCTACTACTGTCCATAAATTTATTCATTTTGAAAATAGACTTTTACTACTGATAAAATTACAAAAATTATAGAATTTTAAGAAAATATTTACTTTGACTACTGTTTTTTATATTTTACTTATTGTGTCTGACTAAAACCGCGCTTTACTACTGATAAAATGAAAACATAGAAATCTAAGTCTGACTAATTATTGATTTTTACTACTAATAAAATTACAAAAATTACAGAATTTTTAAGTATAAATATTTTCTATTTTATTTATTGTGTCTGACTAAAACCGCCTTGCACTACTGATAAACTTCAAATTTAAAAAATTTTAAGTATGACTAAATATTTACTTTTACTACTGGTAAAATTACAAAAATTACAGTATTTCAAACTAAATATTTACTATTATTACTGTTTTTAAATTAAATTCATTGTGTCTGACTAAAACCGCTTTATACTACTGGTAAAAATTACAAAAAGTACAAAAAATTCAAGCCTGACTAAATATTGATTTTTACTACTGATAAAAGTAGAAAAATTACAAAATTATATATAAATATTTATTTTATTACTGATTTTCTAATTTAGTTATTACGTCTGACTAATAATTGACTTCTACTACTGTCCAACATTACTAAAATTTTAAGACCGACTAAATACTGACTTTCACTACTGATAAATAAATAAAAAAAATTACATAATTTAAAAGTAAATATTTACTATGTTTACTATTTTTCTATTTTATTTATTGTGTCTGACTCAAACCGCCTTGCACTACTGATAAAATAATAAAAATTTACAAAAAATTTTAGTCTGGCTAAATACTGACTTTTACTAATGATGCAATTACAAAAAAAATTATTCAATTAATTTTTCTATTCTATTCATTGTGTCTGACTAAAACCGCCTTACACTACTGGTAAAATTATAAAAATTACAAAAATCTTAAGTCTGACAAATACTGACTTTTACTACTGATGAAATTTTAGTTATTATGTCTGACTAAACATTGACTTCTACTACTATTCATTTAGTTTATTTATTTCGTCTGACGAAAACGAGCTTTTACTACTGATAAAAATTTTATAAATTAAAAAATTATTTCTACATATTTTCTTAGACTACTGATTTATTTTTAAAAATTTAATCATTATGTCTCACTAAACATTGACTTTTGCTACTGGTGAAATTAAATTTCAAATTTAATAAAAAAAATGGATATAATCAAATGTAAAATAAAAAAAAAAGTATTTTTCTCTTTATACTCAAAAAAAAGAAAACCTTTTTAAACACAATATCATCTTGGCAAGAGATGAAAAGCTCAAATATTTGAAAATAACTTTCGAATTGAAGGATCACTTTCTAAATCCTAGATATAATATTTATTTTTATACAAAAACCAAATCATTTCCGATTTTCGGATTCCTAAACATTCTTTATTCCCACGCGCCTTTTTATATTGAAATTCACAAAATCTCACATTTCAATTATTGAATATATAAGAATTTTTTCTTTCAATATAAAAAATATTCTTAATTGCAAAAAATTATAAATAAAAATTAGAATTAAAATTTAAATTTAAATTTAAAAATATTATCACAATATTGTATTTAATGAAAATATATTTATTTTTATTTGCAAAATACAACTGCGGTAAAGAAATAAAAAAAAAAAAATTGTTCATTATAAAATAAGGAGAGAGTGAAAATTTTATATCGTCTTCTCAGGGAAATATAAGAATATATCTTTAAATGTACTCTTGAACGAACAATGTCACTTTTGTAAAATGACTTGAGAAAAAGAGAGAGAGAGAGAGAGACATTAAATCCTCAATTTAATAAGAGTGCTAATAAAGTCAATTCTAAGGGAAGGAGGGTAAACCCCCCCCCCTCCCTCCCATCCCCCTTTCTTTCGCTAACTCTTGCAATGAATAAAAAAAAGTTAGTTCCACTTTGAAAACTTTTATTTTCATTTATATAAATGAATAAATTATGAACAATTTGTTCTTTTATTATTTAGGTTTATTTAATCGATCCTTAATTTTTTTTCCTGATCTTTTTTTCTGTTAAATTGTATTTCTTTTTAGTCTTCTTCACTTCGTGAAATCATGACTTTATTTTTTTTTTTATTATTTTAGTATTATTTACTATTTATTATTTTTTATTTATTATTTATTACTTATTATTTTTTATTTATTATTTATTACTTATTATTTTTTATTTATTATTTATTACTTATTATTTTTTATTTATTATTTATTATTTATTATTTATTACTTATTATTTATTATTATTTATTAGTATTTTGACAGTTTTTTTTTGGTTTTAATTTTAATTTTTTATTTTAATAAACAGCATTATATTTTAATTCATTTTAGTATTAAAATAATACTCCACAATTTAGTGTGTATGTAAACAATAAACTGCTGATTACATGATTTCGCTCGATCAGTTTTCTTTCATTTCAATACATTTTCGCTACTTTTTTTTCATTTTTTTTTTTTTTTGTTTTTTTTGGTTACTTTCTTTCGTGCTTTAGCAGTAAATTTGAGCAACCCTCTAAATGTACATACGTGATGCGATTTCAATTCTCGATATAGCATGACCACCCCCTATTCTCCCCCCTCTCTCTCTCTCTTCACAGTTCACTTCCGGTATTGGGCGTCATAAAAAGTATATTCCACCACTGTATTTTATCTCATATATATATATGTATACAAAAAAAAGCCACATTTGCTGACAGGTAATCTTTCACACCCACTAAACAAGGTACAACAATGATGGCTTTACTGAAATTCTTTTCTCATAACGCAAATTTCATTATATATATACAGTAAGATTATTTGACTATGAATCACCCCCAATATAGTGTTAAAGTTTATGAAGACTTTAGTATATTTTAATTTGGAAATATGCAACCCGGTTTACAGAGAAGTTTGAAAAAAACATTAAACAGGAGTCATTTTTAAATTTGCCGCTTGAAATTGGATGCGCGCGATGATTTAAGTCATCACGTGATAGCAGAAAAGGCAAGTTGGAAACCATTTTGGTTATACGAAATCAAAACATAACCCCAAATAATCATCGTATTTGACATTATTAATAAAAAACAAATAGAAATAAAAAATAAATAGTCATTAGAAGATTATAATAATGATAAAAAAGTTAAAATAAAAATTTAGTGAAAAAGTGTTTGGCAATTTTATCTACATAGTGTGATGTGGAAGAGAAATATTATGTGTCTGAAACAATGTTTGTCGGAATTATTTATTTATTTATTTATCATAAAATAGTCCGATTGTATTCTTTCAAATCAGCAAATAAATGATTAATTCATAATTTCAGTTGTGTAGTTTCTAACCGTATTTTTTTCGTTGTTTTCGAATAAATAAATAATTTATTGTGAATTAGGTCAAAATTTCTTGTAGAATACCTTGTGACACTGTTGACTTTATACTAATTTTTAATCAAATTCTTTAGAGTTTATCCATTTTTCAATTAAAAAATTTTTTTTCAATAAATAATTCCGACAAACATTGTTTCAGACACATAATATTTCTCTTCTACATCACACTATGTAGATAAAATTGCCAAACACTTTTTCACTAAATTTTTATTTTAACTTTTTTATCATTATTATAATCTTCTAATGACTATTTATTTTTTATTTCTATTTGTTTTTTATTAATAATGTCAAATACGATGATTATTTGGGGTTATGTTTTGATTTCGTATAACCAAAATGGTTTCCAACTTGCCTTTTCTGCTATCACGTGATGACTTAAATCATCGCGCGCATCCAATTTCAAGCGGCAAATTTAAAAATGACTCCTGTTTAATGTTTTTTTCAAACTTCTCTGTAAACCGGGTTGCATATTTCCAAATTAAAATATACTAAAGTCTTCATAAACTTTAACACTATATTGGGGGTGATTCATAGTCAAATAATCTTACTGTATATTTTTTTTGTCGTCGCTCCATATAAATATTAGAATATGAAAACGAAAATGTTTCGCTCTTTTTAGGAAGTTTAAAATATTCACAAATATGAAAGAATTTTTTTTTAAAATAAGAAACTATTTTAAATTAAGTTAAATAAATAATTAATTAATTAATACTTTTATAATAATAAAAATAATAATAATAGTAATAATAATAATAATAATAATAATAATAATAAAAATAAAAATAATGAAAATAGTAACAATAATAAAGTAATAAAACTTTAGTTTTAAAAAAAAATAAAGTATTAACTAGAAAAAAAAATCTTTGTTTATATAGTCATAAAAATTAACTCAAGAAGTCGGGAAGAATTCCTTATAGCGAGTAGTAAAAAAAAAACAAAGTACAATAAATCAGACGGTCGAGCATATTATTTACGGTGTTCCCTTAATTAAAGCCGAATCCGTAAGTTATAACGCTTAATTAGATTCTTCCTTCACTCTCGTTAATCTAGATCTTTTTTCAACATAAAAGTACCGTGTGCTTTTCTTTTCACTTTTTTTTTGTTTTTGTTTTTTTTTTTATGTAAACTAAACAAAATAAGGTTGATTTTTATTAACCCACAATCGTCACACTCCAAAAAATACATTTTCACAAAAAGTCAATTTAAATTGGATAAAATAAAATAACAATTTTCTTTTATTTTTAATAAATAATTAATCTAAAAAAAAAATAAAAATTTATTGAAATTATAAGTGAAGTGCTTTTTTTCTCGATGTTTGGGAAAAAAAATCCTTGAGAATTCTCAATTCAAAAAAGAAAAAAAAAAAAAAATGTAGAAAATTTGAACACGACATGAAACGAATAAAGAGGATAAATTCCATTGGGGGATTTTAAGCGCATGACCTAAATTATATGTTGTGTGATTTGGGTAGATATATAGTGTGTGTTTAAAGGCGCAGCATGTACCTAACAGACGTTCTCCAAGCATACATATATATACAAGTCACTATCTCCATTGTTTCCTGTTCAATTCCATTGGCTTCCTCTTCTACATACAAGAGAGTTTATAATAAATTTAAGATCATTCCAAAGACTGGAATCTTATCGTAAACAAGATACAAAAGTTTACCCTCCATACCAATGATGCTGTTTAAAAAAAAACTTAAAAAGGCAAAAGCTTAGCTGTGTCATGAAAAAATTATTCTAAAAAAATATTGAGAAACAAAAATTAATATTAAATTAATTAATTCAGACACTAATTCAAATAAATTTAATTTTTTTTTACTAATTTCTAGTTTTATATAATATAATAGTAAAATATAATAGTAAAAATAATATAATAGTAGTAAAAAAAATAGTAAAAATAATATAATAAGAGTAAAATATAATACTAAAAATAATATAATAGTAGTAAAATATAATACTAAAAATAATATAATTGTAAAATATATTACGTCTGACTAATAATTGACTTCTACTACTGCCAATATGTTTTATTTATTGTGTCTGACTAAAACCGCCTTGCACTACTGGTAAAATAACAAGAATTACAAAATTTTTCAGTCTGACTATAAATATTTACTTGTACTACTGATAAAGTTACAAAAATTAAAGAATTTTTTTACCTTATTCTATCACTATGCGGTTTTATATTTTCTGACTAAAACCGCCTTGTACTACTGATAAAATTTAAAAAATTACTAAAATTTTAAGTCCGACTAAACACTGACTTTTACTACTGATAACTTTACAAAAAATTACAGAATTTTAAAATAATTATTTACTATGTCTAATGCTTTTATATTTTATTTATTGTGTCTGACTAAAACCGCCTTACACTACTGATGTTTAAAAAATACAAAATTTTTATGTCTGACTAAATATTGCCTTTTACTAATGATACAATTACAAAAATTAAATTAATTAATTTTTATATTTTATTTATTATGTCTGACTAAAACCGCCTAGCACTACTTATAAAATTTAAAAAATCTTAAGTCTGACTAAAATCGCCTTGTACTACTGGTGAAAATTACATAAATTACAAAAATTTTAAGTCTAAATAAATATTTATTTTTACTACTGATAAAATTACAAAAACTACAAAATTTTTAACTAAATATTTACTATGATTATATTGTTTTTATATTTTATTTATTGTGTCTGACTAAAATCGCCATGAACTACTGGTAAAATGACAAGGAATAAAAAATATTAATTCTAACTAAATATTTATTTTTACTACTGATAAAATTACAAAAACTATAGAATTTTTAACTAAATATTTACTATGATTATACTGTTTTTATATTTTATTTATTGTGTCTGACTAAAACCGCCTTGTACTACTGATAAAATTTTTAAAAAATACAAAAAATCTTAAATCTGACTGAATACTGACTTTTACTACTGATAAAATTTTAGTTATTGCGTCTGACTCAACATTGACTTCTACTACTGTTCATATATTTTATTTATTTCGTCTGACGCAAATGCTGTATAAAAAAAGAAAAAAAACCTTAAAGCAAAAGCTTCAATGAAAAAATTATTCTAAAAAAATATTGAGAAACAAAAATTAATATTAAATTAATTAATTCAGATACTAATTTAAAAAAAATTTAATTTTCTTTACTAATTCCTACTTTTATATAATATAATAGTAAAATATAATACTAAAAATAATATAATAGTAGTAAAATATAATAGTAAAAATAATATAATTGTAAAATATAATATTAAAAATAATATAATAGTAAAAATAAGAAAATAGTTAAAATAATGTAATAGTATTAATAATATAATATGCAAAAATAATAATTTTAATTTGTAATTTTTAATTTTTTTACTTAAAAAAAATTTAATATTAAATATTTTTTGTAATAATTTTATTATTGTTTTTAATAACGATAATTTTTATTGTTACAGCAAACGCAAGCCAGTATGCCCATTACGTTTTCAACACTTTGGACCAGGATCATAGCGGACTTTTGAGCTTTGAGGTGAGTCCTCTTTATTTGACCACTTAAGAAAATTCCCATCCTCTATCGTTTATTATCCCTCATATATATATACTCACTGATGGTAGACTTTATTTGCTCCTCTCTCGTATATATATTTGCCGTTTGTAGCCATTCCATAATGCCAAGCATCATGCCACTTGTATATAAACGTGAGTTGAAACTAAGTAAATAATTTATAGACTGCAACTTTATAAATTATTAGCATATGCAAATAAAAGTAAATATTTTCTTTAAAATAAACTCAACCACACATATTTTCATTTACTCTTCTCTCTTTCTCTCTTATATTCTTCTTCTTCCTCTTCTTTTGTTTATATACTTTTTATTGTATTTCTTTCATTTCTTTACTTAGCTTCAATTTAATTTTCTTATTACCACACTTTTTAATAAGAAAAACTTTTCTTGTTAATACTTTGCTTATTCAATTTTTTTTTTTTTTGTAAATTTTTTATTTCAAAATGTTTATTATGAAAAAATAATACTCCAAAAGAAAATCAAATTTTTATAGGAGTTAAAAATTTAATTTTGTAACAAATAATAATTAATAAATAATAAATAATAAAAAAAATAATAAATAGACAAATAATAATTATTGAAAATAGATAATAATAAACAATAAGAGCCCACTTGGAAAGATTCCCCGGAAAGTTCCCCCTGGAGGTTCTATCAGAATTCCACCGGAATTTCCAACGTAATTCCGTCGGAATTCCATCGGAGTTCCAAAGAATTTCCGATGGGATTCCGACGGAGTTCCGACGGAATTACGATTAATTTTTTCAAAATTTTTAGAGTCCTAATTCCGTCGGAATTCCGTCAGAATCAAAGAAAATTAAAATGCATTAAAATAAGCTGCAACGCTTATTATTTTAATCTAATTTTGCTTATTTTAATACCAAAATGGATTAAAATAATAAGCGTTGCATCTTATTTTAATACCTTATAATTTTCTGTGATTCTGACGGAATTCCGACGGAATTAGGACTCTAAAAATTTTGAAAAATTTAATCAGAATTCCGTCGGAACTTCGTCGGAATCCCATCGGAAATTTTTTGGAATTCTGACGGAATTAGGACTCTAAAAATTTTGAAAAAATTAATCGGAATTCCGTCGGAACTTCGTCGGAAACCCATCGGAAATTTTTTGGAATTCTGATGGAATTTCGACGGAATTACGTTGGAAGTTCCGGCGGAATTCTGATAGAACCTCCAGAGGGCACTTTCCGGGGAATCTTTCCAAGTGGGAGATAGTAGGGAATAATAATAAATTATTTATAACTAAGTATATATAAATAAATAAATTAATAATAATAATAATAATAATAATAATAATAAAAATAATAATGATAATAATAATAATAACAAATGGTAATAAATGATAATAAATAGTACGAAATATTACGAAATAATAATAAATAATATTAAATAATTATAAATAATACTAAATAATAATATTAATTATAGCAATATTGAAAATCAATACCAGTATTAATAATAATAATAATAGTAATCACGTGTAATAAAATAACGAACGATACTTATCGATATCTTTATTATAGCGATAAATATGAGAATTTCCGCATTGCGTGCAAAAAGCACTAATTTCTGTTCTATAATTATGTAATTAAATAAATCCGCAAAGCAAAATTATATATATATATAGTATATAGTTGCTGGTAAATTATATAATGGAATATACACAAACATTGACTCAATACACACACACACATACATAACCAAAAGTGCAACACACGCTATATTAAACGCTCAAGTGAGAAAAAAAAGAAGTGAGCGTAATTTATAATTCTCGGCGAAAAAATCCTTTTCATATACTGACACTTACAGATTCATGGAAATTATTTTTCAAGTAAATGTGAAATTCTTTTTTTTTTTTTGCCCCCGCATCTTATATAAACGTGATTCTGTTCTTCAAAGCATTTTCTTTTTTTTTTTCTTCTCTTTTTTTGGAAAAAAAATAACGACCACCCTGGGAATGATAAAGAAAGCCAACATGAAGTACCCTCTTAATTAACCGAAAATTTTTATATTACTTTTTAAAAGTTGTGGAATGAAATATGGTTTAGTTTTTTTTTCTTTTTTCTTCTTAAACCATTTTTACATTTTCTTAGTTTCATTTCCCTGTTGGATAGATTTACAAATAATTTCACTACAAAGGAAATATAATTTCGAAATTAAAATTTTTTTTAAGAATTATATATATTTTTTTAAATTATTAAAAAAAATAATAATAATAATACAATAATTATTATTTATAAATATTTATAGATAGATTTATTTCATTGATGGTACAATATGTTTTACATTTTTATAATTAAAATCGAATTATAAATATTTGTAAATATTACTAATATAAATATTTATATTATAAATAATACTTAATTAAATTTTTTTTTGGTATTTTATTCTAAATGCAAATATTTTTAAATAAATAAAATATTCGTAAATTTAGAATTACAGTTGTTTTTTATTCTTTCATTTAGAAATGATGAATATATTAGCATATATTTTAAATATTTGCATAATTTAAAAAATTCAATTCAATAGATAAATATCAATTTTTGCTAATTTAAAATAATTTAAATTTTTTTCTTTGTAAAATTTTTTCCTATTTTTCAACAAAAGTCTTATTTAATCCGCCTTTAAATTTGTCCAATCTATGCAATTTTTCTTTTATGATTCTTAACTTTAATAAACGTTACTGTATATATCTATATATATATATATAAAAATGGGTGAAAAATTCTATCGACACACACATGATGTCCCTAAAGGGTAGTTTCTATAAAAGTGGATGATACTTATGGATTTACGGCTTCACATAAAGCTAAGAAATATATATCCCAAACGTATATTCTGAAGGGTGATATTCGTCAAGAAGCTGAAAGGTCCAATCCATTTGTTATACTCGTAAATATATTGTTATTATATTCGATTTTTTTCCCTTTTTTTTTGTATTTTTTTGATCTCAATTTTCTATTTTAGATGAAAATATATAATTTTCCATAATAATAATGGTATATACACAAAATATGCATATATGCATAAAGCATTAAATATTAAATAGCTAAGTAATTAAGAACAAAATTCTCTCAAAATACTATATATATATAGAATATGTCCCTTTTAAAATTATTATTATTATTATTATTATTATAAATATTATAGTTGCCATTTAAAATTATAGTTGGCTATTTTAGTTAAACGCTTTTAAAAAAAAATATTTAATTTTCTTTTTTATTTAAAAAATTTATAAAATTAATATAAATAAAAAAATATAAATTTAAATAATGCAAATTGATAATTTTGCACTATAAACAGTAACAAGGGTAATTTTTTTTTTTTTATTTTTTTTTTTTTGGAGGAAAAAAAAAAGTATTTTTGAAAAAGTGGATTGAACGCGTGAAAAAGCGGATAATTACGATGTGACGTAATTAACAGGGATTGTACTTTTTATAATTAGCCCTGTGAGAAAAGAGGTTGTTTGTACTCTTTTTTTAATCCACAATAAGGTTTGTGCACTCTCGTTTAATTAGGATCTATATACCTTAGTGACTTTTACTCACGCAAACAATTTCAATATTTTAATTGATATCGAAGTCACACCTGTGCGCCACATATGCAAACTGTTAATATGAAATTATATTTTTGATTAAATAAAAAATTAAAAAAAAAACAAATAATAATAATATAAATTATTATTATAAGAAAATAAATTATTATTATTATTATTATTATTATTATTATTATTATTATTATTATTATTATTATTATTATTATTATTATTATTTTTATTATTATTATTATTATTATTTAATAATAATAATAATTATTATTATAATTTCCTTTTATTATTTTTAAATAAAAATTAATTTTTGATAATATTTATTTTTATACGAAAGTAATAAAATAAAGGAAGTAAAATAATTTTTATGTGCAATGAAATTGAAAATATGATTAGTTGAATTTTCTTTTTTTTCCACTTTTAATCGCATAGTGTAAAAATTATGCGAGTCAATAAAAATGATTGTTAATTTAAAAAATAGTAAAGAAAGAAAATAAATGTAGGCTTTATCATAATAAAGTCATTGCGAGCATCATCTTGTTAACTAATTTTATTCGTTCATTGAAAATTCAAACAGTCGACGAGTTTTTTAATCTCATTATATTACAACACGAAAGGTGAAAAAGTGCAAGCACATCGTATTCGATTGCACATTTTGAATAAAAAATATCTATCTTGCATTTTGATCTATAAATAAAAAAATAATTTTTTTATTCAAATATATAAATAATTTTAATTTTTTTAAATTTTACATTTAAAAAAAAAAATTGGAAACAAAATTCAAAAATGGAAATTAAAATATTTTATTAAAATAAAAACGATGGGAGATGTTATCATTAAAAAAAAAATAGTTGAAAATAATTTTACTCTCGTTCATGCAAAAAATGTCATTAACGAAACGAAAGGAGGGATTTATTGACAACGCTCTCTACATGGAAATTTAATTAATAAAATAAAAAAAAAAATAAATAAAAGCATAGACTTGTATTTTCTCAAATTCCTTTGAGCGAAACTTTGCCTGAAACGCGAAATAAATATATAAATATATATATGGAGAGAGAAATTGATTTTCGATAATTTTGAAATATCCAACAAGTTCATATAAGATAATGTTACATAATAAATAATAAATTAATACAGAAATATAATCTAATAATAGTTTGACAACAATATTCATATAATAAATAATAAATTATCATTGAAATATTATTCTAATAATAATTTTCCATATATGACAAATAATATATTTCAAAAGTTAAATTTAGAATTATACTGTATAAATTCATGAAAAACATATTGTTTTGGCACCTGGATATCAAATTATATTGATATATCATAATTTGCATCTATTTTCAAGTAAATCCAATAATTGAAACTAGAATAAAAAGAATTTTTTGTTT